TACTTTCAGAGCAACCTATGCACAGTGCAGTTCTCCAGTATCCCTTCCACTTCCTGTTAATATACATCTCTTTTTAAAAATATCTCCAGTTTTGTTTTTAACTATGGTGACAGTTTCTACTAAAATCTGACACTCTTAATCAAGACCAACAAGTATGTTCTGCAGGATGAATTACAGGCTTATTGTTGGAAACAACAACAAAATCCTAGATGCTGCCAAATTTATTTGCTTATACACAGGACAAGAAAGAAAAAAAAGCAAAGAATGAATATGGCTTAGCATCATTTTCAGTTAAACAAGACAACTGAGATTTGGATGGAATATATGCTAATACATAAATATGATATTCACTCAAGTGTGAATTTCAAGTCTTTGTGAATCCAGGCTTGCAAAGTTTAAAAGAAACTACAACCATCACATTATCTATTGCATTTGATCTTCGACACAACATTCTACCAGCCTGGAGTACTTGGTACAGTGACAACACAGTCAATCAGAATCATCCTGTCCATCTTCTCAGACAAGTAGTCTTTAAAAAAAAACAGGATAGTTTTCCTTCCAGCACAGAGGTCATATGACAACTGCAAAGTACAACAGAACTGCTAGTTTCCAGCTTGTAGCAAAAATAAAATAAGAATGAGGTCTACTATGCCTTCTTCCTAAGACAAAAATACAAAAACTTCAAGCAAGATAAGAAACAGGAGAACCTGCTTCTCCTATGTCTCATCAGCAGCTTTTTTCATGCATAAAGATGACATGAAGAAAGCTCAGTATGTCAGCAGAATAGAGCAGTGCAGCTGAACAGTCCAGAAAATTCAAAACCAAATGTCCAAAAGCATCTAACTATAAACAGAAAATAGCAAATTTATGAAGCTTGTATACAGACAAATCCAGACAAGTCTTCTTAGGGAATCACTCACAATTTCCAAAGCTACTTATTACACTTCAGATTTCTTATCTACATGCCTAGGAGTAGTTAAGAATAATCAAGATTTGTTTCAATACAGTTAAAACAGTTTGCATTTTGTCCCTTGAAATTAGTAGTGAACAGGAAAACTTCCTTATGAAGATAAACAACAAAAAACATTCCAAAAACTTTACAGTCTAATGAGATGGGTCTTAAATAAACAAGCATCAAGTAACAAGCACTTTAACATTTAGTACTGCTGGTGCTTCAGGTACAGGCCTGCTTTCAAATCAATGCAGGAATTGCTCATCTGCAGTCCAAGTGACTATGTGCACAGGCAACTTCAACTGGAGCCAGCACTTCTCCTTCTACACATAAAATACTTTTTTTTCTTTGCCAGTCAGACAAAAAGCCACCTTATTTGCTAACAGAAAAGCTTCCTAAATTTACTCCAGCAGTAAACATATATTGATTTGTGCAATAATACAGTTTTTGAGAGAAAACTTATTTTATGTAAGTATTAAAATCACAACTTGCAACATTAAAATGTCTATACAGTAGGGTTAACACAGTCTGCTCTCTTTCTATATCTGCTGAGAAATAGAAAGCTGAAAGCCTTAGAAACCAAAGTGACTACAAAGCAGATGCACCTAAAATTAGCTTGATCAGCTCTATGTAGCGCATCTTTTTTCTGCTGTATACCAACTAAAGAGAATATTCATTGCAGTACTGGGGAGGTTTCAACAAACAGGACCTTAATATGGCTGAAATCCCCTCCAGGAGGGTGCAACAGGAGTAAAAGCAGTGACATCACAACAGTGCCAGCCCACAAAGCAGGACACCATTCTAGCTAGCAGCATCATCAATAATTGACTTATACTAGCAGAGAGCTTAAGAAACTGGTAAGGGGGCTGATTCCCACAGTAGAAGGTAACTGGGATGCAGGTTCACCATCTGCTGAAGCCCTCAGGGCAAATGGTCCTTTACTTCTTCCTTCTCCCAGCCCCTCCTACATCCTTTGAGAGGAAGGCACCCAACAGTGCTGTGAGCAAGCTGATGCAACTGGAAAGCAGCATTTTATTTGTGAAGTTCTATGTTTGCTGGATTTGCTTCCTGACCCAGAGTTCTCACTCCAGTAAAAAAAAATAAAATAAAATAAAAATCATATAAATACATATGATGCACATTCTAACCGCAATGCTTTAAAACACTGAAAAACATCCATGCAAAATAACTGTTTTTAACAGATTAAATTCTATTTCAAGAATCTCACTGAGTACAGATCCGTGAAATGAATCTAAAGACTATGTAGGCATATATGCAATCACAGTTACAAAGAGAATCACCTCTTGAAAGACAGAATAAAAATCATAGGGCAGCATTAAGTTTCGTAAGCAGATGTCTTCATGCGTATGGTTAAATAATTTGTTTCAGTAAGTGAGTGGAAAAAAATTTGAGAGATATGCATTCATCCTCTGCATGCATACTTTACTTCAAAGAATTCCAGGAATCTATTGTAAACGTAAAAAACTCCACAGTCACCACAGCACATTGCTCCCCAAAGGAACAGCGGGTCAAATTCAAAGTACCAGCAATAGCTTCTCATTCAGGCCTTTTTCTATAGAGACCAGAATGGACAAAACCTCCAAAACCTCAGAGCTGTGTCTTCAAGGGTAAAGAAAAAAAACAACTTAGGTTGTGAACTTAAAGGATAAAAGACCAAAACATAACTCCCTACTGAGTGATTACAAGGAGAAGCTTTCCCAAACATTAGCTAACTACGAGACAAAAGACAGCTCAGTAAAGAGTCAACTAACAGATTAACATATAGTCATAATTGGCCACAACCATTGAAAAAGCAATCTGAAGAAAAAAGGCAAAATCCAGACTCTGGTGAGAAAGCTGCAATAATTAAAGGTATTTCAGTAAGGCAGCCAGCACTCACAGCATGCACTATGCTTCTGAAATGATGATGCCCATCTGCCTCCAGCTGCTCAGTACCGCTGGCCTGCTGGAAGTTTTCATCTCGTTCCCAAGCCTACCAGCACCTGCTAACCTACTTCAGACAAAAAGTGTCAGGTCAACTTAAGCACTGTATCATACCCGTGTTAACCCACCGTGTTTGGGCAGGGGCACATCAGGGAGCAAGAAGAGGGCACAGGAGGACATGCTGCAGCCACCAGGTAACCGCAGCATTGCCCCAGGCTGCCCAACAGAACACCAGTGTTGTAAAGCTAAGATTTTTGCTTAGATTAATGGAAAGATTACAGCATATTAACTTTTTCTTATGTGATTATAAAACACTTAATTGTCATATTCTTCTGGCTTTCTCTAAGCAACGCAATCAGACAGCTTTGCTGTGGGTAGCACAAGTTGCACTCTCTTTTGCTTAAATTCTTATCAAGAATTGCAAAAAACCATCAGTGAGTACAAGGTCTCCACCTTTCTGTTATTGTGAGGGCAAATACTGACACAGCCCTCCTCTCTGTCACCATTTTTCTGTCACCAAATCACTGTCCAGTTGAGACCAGTGACACTGAGCTGTCTTCCAGCTGCTGTTGATTTTCTAACACATCTTTCACCAACCACGTGTGTTGTGCCCAAGACTTGTTACTCAAACTTACCGGCTTATCCAAAAACAATGCACAGAAATGCAGCGTATGCTGCACTTTTTGAGGACATACCAATTAGGCTTACATGTGATTGAGCAGCTGGGCCCATGGAGCACTGTGGTTAAGAGTTAAAAGTCTGAAAGGGAAGGAGGGAAGCCAACATTTCTTCAACAGGCACTGTATGCATCTGTTGAGATGTGCAAGAGCACATCTTTCGTAACAACAAACTCTGAGTTATCTAACTGCCAAACCACAACTTCGCAATAGTGGTCATTTAAAATAAAAGCTACCTCCCTAAGTTTCATAGGCATAAAGGTTGAAAAAGATTGTGTAGTTCATCCCCAGTCCAACTTCATCATTCCCACTGACCATGTCCCTCAGTGCCATAACCACAAATTTCTTGAACACCTCCAGGGACGGTGATTCCATCATCTCCCTGGGCAGCCTGTGCCACTGCATTATTACTTAAGCGAAGAAAACTTCCCAAATATCCAATCCAAATCTGTCCTGGAGCAACTTGCGGCCATTCTGTCTCATCCTATCACTGCTACTCAGTAGAACAGGCCAACCCCCACCTCAGCCTCCTGTCTGGTCACTGAAAAGAGCAATGAGGTCTCCCCTAAGCCTCCTCTTCCCCACACTGAACAACCCCAGCTCCCTCAGCCACTCTCTATAAGACTCGTGCTGCAGACCCTTCGCAGCTTCTCTGCCTTTCTCTGAACATGCTGTGAGGTGTCAATACCTTTCTTTCTGTGAGGGGCCCAAAGCTGAGTACAGACCCTGAGGTGCAGCCTTGCCAGCGCCAAGTACAGGGGAGGAGTTTAAGTCTGTACAACTCAGAAGTGACAAAGACTTGGTGAAGGTTCCCAAGGTGCCCAGCCAACTCTATGAAACCTTCATACAGAAAGAAGTTCTCAGCCTCACAGTGCCAGGAGAGCAAAGCTCTGAGTGGAAGCGAGCACTTGGGCCTGGCTTTGCAGTGGGTCAGAAGAGCTGAGTTCACCCAGAGACTTTTTCCTGTTGGTGACCGCAAGGAAAACTTGCAAAAGATACAAGAGAGAAAGCTGCTGCAAGGAAGGGGAGCACCAAGAGTACCAGAAGCTCGCGATGATGTTTATCGTGAATTCCGGACAAAAAGACGCCCCGTGCGGTGCGCCAGGGGCCCGTTCCGGGCTGCCGCAGTCCGCTCCCGGGGACCGGCCCAGCAGCCGCGGGCCCGCTGAGCAGCGAGCCTGGGCTGTTCGGGGCGGGCGCTGCTCCCTCCCGCCGCGCCGTGGAAGTACGAGCAGCCCGACCGCCGCGGCCGCTCCCGCCCTCCACCGCGCGGCGGGCCGGCAGCCCAGGCCCGGCGGCTCAGGCGTGAGGCGGCCGCGCGACGCGGGCCCGCTCCTCCCGTCAGCGTGGCGGCCCCGCGAGGCCGGCGGCAGGGCCGAGACCGCTCGCGCCCCCTCCCGCCCCCGGGGCCGGGCCGCAGCACGTACCTGGCGCCCGTGGCTGGCGGGGCGGGGCGGGGCAGGAGCGGCGCCGTCAGCGGGAGGCGCGCGGTACACTCGCCGCGCGCGCCGCCCGCCCCTCTCCTCCCTCCCGCTCCGCTTCCGGCATCTGCGCGCCGTGACGTCAGCACCGGGGGGCGCTGCGGGAAAGCCGGAAGTGCAGCGGCAGCGGCGGCGTGTGGGGCTGGGGCGTCGGGCGGGCGTGGGAGCGCTGCGCCAGCAGCGCTCGGCACGCCGTCCCGCCGCTTGTAAGAGCGAATTGCGGCGTGGGGTTCAGTTGATGCCCGGTGCTTGGGCGTTTGCACGTGTTCTTACACGCCACAGACGCAGTGCCACAGAATATCTCGAGTTGGAGATCATGGATAACTTCTAGGCATTTCCAGCGCCCTTGGTGTGGCTTAGCCAGAGAACGTGCATCTAGCCCCCTCCGTCCTGCTGCCCTGGAGAGCTGGGGCCGTTCGGCCTGGAGAAGGCTCCAGGGAGACGCGAGAGCAGCATTTCAGTGCTAAAACGGGGGCTGTAAGAAGGAAGGGAACAGGCTCTTTGGCAGGGTCTGTTGGGAGAGTATAAAGGTATCAGCGGTTTTGGGCCAGTTCCACCTGGTTCTGTGACTAAATGTAGCATGGATCCACACCCCGGGAGTGGGGGAAAAGGGAAAAAAGGGAAAGGTAGGGAGATGTGCCTAAGACCAAAACAGTGACAACCAGGTGAGAGAAAAAACTAATTTACTAAATATGATATTGAAATGCAAGGTAGCACAATATAATAGAATATAGTTGGAAGTGAAGCTAGTAAGTCAAGTAAAATGAGAGTCTAAAAAACGAAAGGCCTTATGCAAATGCTGAAGGCAAGATGGTTAGGGAGAACACACCTCAGAGATGAGCAAGAAAAGAAGGGGCAATCTCCTGACTCAGGGGCAGTTTTATCTTTCCCTCTAAACAGAAACCAGAAACAGAACAGTGAAAGTCTTGAGGGAGATGAAGTTCTTCTTTCCTTCTGAGAAATGTATACCTGAAACTGTCGACAATCTACATAAGTAGTGTATGAATTCTTTAACTCCCAATGTATTACATGATGCGGAGTACTGATACAAAAAAAAAAATCATAAAACCATGACCAAGGGGAAGCGATTTCAAACTAAAAGAGAGATTATTTATATAGTATATAAGGAAGAAGGTTTTTACAGTCAAGGTGGTGGGGGATTGGCACAGATTATCCAGAAAGCTAGTGGAAGCCCCATCCCTGGACATATTCAAGGCCAGGCTGGACAGAGCTCTGAGCACCTGATGGAGCTGTAGGTGTCCCTGTTTGTTGCAGTAGAATTGGACTAGATGACCTTTAATGGTCTCTTCCAACTCAAATGATTCTAGGATACTATGATTCTGTAATATAGTATGAAATATTTCTTCTGTCATCTAATGGAGTCTCCAGTTTTGGAGATGGTCTTGCTAGCAAAATCCAGGAATGAAACTTGCCAACCTGAATGTCAGGTTAGAAAGTTGACATTGCTTTACTGCAGCACTGGGTGTGTGAGGGATCATTCCTAGCATGCATGCATATAAGCTGAAGCACATAGATTATATATATTATATACATTTAACAAAAATGAATATTTGTATAATTTCCATGAAGTGCCCGTCTATTCTGAGGATTGCTATATGTATTAAAAGCTGATACTACACATGCACTGTGTTAATAGGGGGTTCTTGCAAGGGGGAATTGGTGGTCATGGAGTTCCACTGGGAGATACTATCCAGCCAAAAAGTTGTGTGCTAAGTAGCTCAGGTCTTGACCATATTTGGTCAAGAAATCATTTATGTAAAATCAGCTGCTGACTGAATTTCTAATTATCTCATCTACCTTGTTATGGTGCTTATATTATCAGCTCTCGCAGAGTACAGTATATCTCCCCACAGCTTATGGAATGTTGAGACTTTGCAGTTAGGCTCCAGATGTCCTGCTTATCTGGGAAAAACAACCATATACAGAATATGTTTGCTGAAGACCCTGAATTAATTGCTGCAGACTCTGAATTTATTGCCAGGCATCACAGAGGTGCCTTCCAAACTCAGTTATTTTGTGTTTCCATATGATTCTGTGAAAAGTTTTCCTAATAAGTCAAATTACTGCTATCTACTGAAATTTATGCAGATGCTGGGTGGATACTAAGTTTCACCCTCTAATGATCACATCCAGTGGTCAACCAAATTGGTAGTTTTGTCATAAGAGATGCAGAACTTTCTCTGAACTGGTGTTAGCTATGGCCAGTGACTGTGTACTGTGTTTCACATTTTTCAGTAATTCCCAGAATAATCTTCTTCATACTTTTTACCCAGCAGTGAAGGGAGACCAGGGTCTTCTTTTATACTCTTCTTGAAAATTGGTACATTTACCAACTTTCAGTCAACTGGGACCTCTCCATATTCCCAAGACTATCTAAAAAAATAACAGAGAGGTTTTGTGATTATGTCAGTCAGCTCTTTCAGCAGCCGGAGAGTAATCCCATCAGGCCCTTGGTGCAAATCCCTATGGAGAATATTACTGAAGGTGGGGGTGATGGTAATTCAGAATAAGCAGAATTGTAATGGCTGACCAGGAGGCAGCAAAAGCCTAAACTGAAAGGCTCTTTTCATGTAGGAGATAAGTGAGTAGGAGCACTCCTTAGGGACTGTGATGAGTTTTTGGACATAATAAGTGCAATATATTCATTAATGAGGTAAAGACAAGAATTTGATATGCACCCATGAAATTTAAAGATGACACTAAGCTGAAAGATATTATGAATTATGATCTTGACTAGAATGAGAGAAATGAGGTAAAATGTAACAATATAAAGTACAAAATCGGTAACCAAAAGAACAGTAAACCTTTCCTATAAACTCATCAGTTAGAGCAAATGAGGAAGAAAGAGTTCTCTTTTAGGAGCACTGAGATAATCTGAAGACTTCTTGAGACATGATTTCTGTGTTTTGTCATGGAGCCTCAGCCAAGAGTGAGACTGCCACAGATCTGAAGCAGAGAGACATTTCTTTGTTTTTCTGGTATGAACATATTTTCTGGTCTGTCATATGTTCACCTAGATTTGATCCCTAAAGGAGTCCTTTCTGTGCCATACCTACCTGTACTTTCTCCTTCTAAAATATAAATAATAAAACAAAGGACAGAGACTGTATTTCTTACCCATGAAACAATTAGGAAATTGAATTTGAAAGCAAGAGAGGGAGTTTCAAAGAGAAAAATTGTCAACTACTAGTCTTATGAAATAGCAGTGACACTGCACAGAGAACAGCACAGAAGAAAAAAAAATCAAGCTCAGGAACAAGATCTGGAGAAAAGCCCCTAAACTAATAATGACTTGGAAGCAAGAGGCCTGGATGCATTGGGAAGGTGAGATGAGCAGCCTGGCCAAGTGATAAAGGAGACACTGACCTGGCTGAGTGGCTCTCTGAGCATCTGTCTTCAGATGACGTGAAAAATGCTATTTTCACAGAGGGCTGCACTCTGCATAAAAGAACATGAAATTTTCAGTGCTGCCAGTAGGAAAATACATTTTAAAAAAATGAGGCAAAAACGTGACTCAAAAGAATTGCACTGAACATGGGAGAAGTTATTTTAAGGCTTCATCATCATATCTAAAGAGGAGCACACCAGGGGAACCAAATATTTGTAGTGTCTATGACAAGTGATCGTGGTCTGAAGACAGTTCTTATTACAGTAACATAAATACTGCTTTTACAGGGCTTATTTCAAGTGGCTGAAAAAAAATGTCAAGTCTCATCAACTCAAGAAGTTGAACAGAAAAGCTGAATGAAAATATTATGAATGAAAACACTTTGAACCCCAAAATGTAAGTTTCTGCTATTCAATACTGTAGCTCAGTAGAAGCTGGGAAGAACTTCTTGAGGTGATAAATATCAAAGCATACTAAACAGACAAAAAGAATATTTCATAATATATACCAAGGAAACTAGGAATTATTTGAAACTGACATGAGGCAAATCAAAGCATAAAAGAGATAAACCTGCAAAATGCAGTATTTTTCTTCACATTCTCTGCAGTGCATTCTTTATGGTATGTTCTTTGTTGTCATAGATTTTTATGTGTTTCCATTAATTTTATTTATATTTTTTGCCTTATAAAAGCTGTTTGCAAAACTCCAACTTGTACAGACACTGAAACATAAAGCAAGATAAGACAAGAAATTTGGAATGACAGAAGGTGCCTTATCTTTTTTCCTGTTTTTTTATACCACCCGCTCACAATTAAAACTTTATCGCCTCCATATGACACATAGAAGGTGGGCAGGATTTTAGTAGCAGCTGATAGATGATTGTGACAAGTAGGATGTCTGATTTTAATACCTAACCTTCAATGCAACTTTCTTAAGCTGTTGTTAAGTCCTCCCGTGGTTCAGTGCTGGTAGAACACCATGGACATAGATTTTGAAAGACATTTTGTCTTTCAACATCTCATAATGCTAGGTATTAACATCTTCACTTCTCTGTGAGAGAATTGAATGTTAAGAGCACTATAATCCTCACGAGCATGATTAGCAGTAGGAGCACCCAAGACTGATCTCTAATTTTAAATGGGCCTGATTTACATCTTCAATAAATCTGAAGTGATCTGTTTATACCACTTGAGCTTTGACCTGAATCCTGGAATTGAAGAATGTGATCCAGTTTAGAAGTTCTTTGCTAGGACAAAAAGATACAGAGGGTATCAAGGGAGTGGAGAATCACGTTGTGTCTCTGCTCTGTCCTAATGACCAGCTTTTGACATACACTGCGAAAATCACAGCTTTCTGTTTGAAGACAAACAGTCTTTGCAGAGGAGGCCTCAACACCAGCAGCGTCAGCCCAGCTCCTGTCAAAACTACAGATCTGGAAAATATACCATTTTGTAATATGAAAAATTGAACTTTTTTTTTTGTCAGTAGCAGCTGCTAATTCTGAGGTTAAGGAAAAAATAAATCTAGTGGTTGCATTTAAGAGTAGGAAGTTTTTTTTTTTTTTTTTTTCTGGGGAAAAGTTATTCTACATGATAATTCCTCCTGAAACTAAGTCC